CGCGCGCGGCGCGCTCGAGGCGCTGCCCGTCGACGCCGCCGCGCTGCTGCCCCTGCTCGCGCCGCCGGGCGCGGGCGCGGCCGCAGGCGCGGGCGCGTCAACCCCGGAGCGCCCAGCGGCCAAGCGCGCGCGCGGCGGCCGCGGGGCGGGGCCGGCGTCGCAGCATGAGGTAATGCACGTCGACGGCGATCTGGGCGGCGGTGATCTGAGCGACCTGGCGGTGTCCGCGCTCGAGCTGCTGCAGTGGAAGGAGGTGGAAGGCGCCGCGGCGCTCGTCGCGCCGCTGCACACGCTGCTCTCCGCGCTGCTGCCGCGCCTCGGCTCGATCGCCGCGCCGCACGGCGGCGACGCCGCTGACGAGGACGCCAGCGGGGACGAGCAGGAGGGGCGCGCCGGCGGCGCCGCCGCCGCGGCGGGCTCTGCGGCTGCGGGCTATGCGTCCCAGCTGGCTCTGCTCGCCCTCCGCCGCCTCGCCCCCGGCGGGGACGCCGCCGCCGCGGTTGTGGCTCGCGGCGCGCTGCCGGAGGGCTTTGACGTGACGCTCGTTCTGGCGGTGTTGGCGGCGGCGCCGGACGCGGCGCTGCGCAACGCGGCGCTGGGGCTGTTGGAGTCGCTGGCGCGCGGCGCACCCGAGGCGATGCTGGGGCACGTGCTGGAGGTGGGTCGCGGGTTCCGGCTGGTTTGCGCGGTGCCACGTTGTGCAGTGCTGCGTTGTGCGGTGTCGCATCGTCCGGTGTTACGCCGGGCAGTCTCAATTTGTGCGGTGTTGCACACTTCTGCTGTGTGTGCATTTGTGCATGCATGCATGTGAGTGTATGCGTGCGTGTGCGCGTGTGTGTGCGCCCACGTGCGCGCAACACCTGCGGGGCGTGCGGGCTGTGCTGAGTGGGGACAAAGGAGCCGGGTGATTACACTATTACTCATCGCTTTCACAGTTGCTGAATACACCTTGATGAGAAACAGTTCGGTCTCTCGTATGACGGCCCTTGACACCTCTTCCCAAACCCATGACCCGCAACCCATGCTTTGCGCACAAGCTGTAACCCTGCATTCGCCCCATGGCACCCGACCTTTAATCGCTTCGCCACGCCGCTCTGCAAAGCCCTTCCTTATGTGCTGCCAAACGCCGTCGCCCGGCCTCCACCTCACACAACCCTCCCTACTGCAGGCCATGCGGCTCATCCAGCACTCTGCCGCGACCACCGACGACTCCCACTCCCAAGCCGCCGCCGCCTCGGCCCTCGCCGCCGTCGTGCCCGCGTGGGTCGCCGCGGGCCGCGACGCCGCCGAGCTCTGGGCGTCGCTGGTGGGCGCGCTGGGCGCGGTGCGGCCGCACAGGCGGCTGGCGCTGCTGGCGACGCTGCTGCGGGCGCTGCCGCAGGTGGGCGCCGAGGGCCCTTTTGGCTGTGTCGATTCTGTGTGGATATCTCGTGTGTTTGGTTCTTGTGCCCTGGTGTGCGCGTGTGGCTGACTTTCCATGTTGAAGCGAACACGCTGTTTTGTCGAGCCCAAGCAGCCGTGGTGGTGGCGGTGGCGGCGGCGTTGGTGGTGGTGGCGGCGGTGCCCGGCCCCATGTGATGACAAAACTTATTAGATGACGAATCTGAACGGCAGCAGCGGGCGTCCTGCTCGTTGCTGCCGCAACCTTGATGCTAACCGAGGCATTTGTCTGATGGTTCACGCTCCCGGCCCGCATCGCCGCGACCGCCGCCTCTATCACCCAATTGCAAAACCACTTGACTGCTTTGATCCAAGCGCTTTGCTTGCAGCTTCGCCTCCCACAGCCCAGCTCGCTTTCCCATCCCTCCATCCAAGCACCATCCCCTCAATCCGACATGATCACTCCTGCAGGAGTCGGGCCTTCCGGCGGCCCTGCTGGTGATGCTCCAGCGCGCAGCTGCCGACGCGGCGGCGCCGAAGCCGGCCCCCAAGGCCGCTCCCAAGGCCGCCACGCCCAAGCGCGGCGCCAAGGCGGACAAGGGGCAGGGGCGGGAGGAAGGCGCCGAGCAGCTGCCGGAGGGGCCACCGGAGCACGAGTGGCTGCCCGAGCTTGCGGCGGCGCTGTGCGAACAGGTGTGGACTGGGGCCGCGTGTTGTGTGTGTGTGTGTGTGTGTGTGTGTACACGCCCGCGCGTGCTTGCTGCAGCCAATAGGCACACTGCGCAAGAATGAGAATGGCCGGTGAAGAGAAACTTTTTGCACGTCAGGCTGACTGACCCGTTGGGTCGGGCTGACGACTGACAAAAGAATTACTACGATGCTGAGGCCTCACCTTTTTCATTCATCGCCCCACCTATTCCTTGATTGGGACTGCTGCCTGTCGCGCCAGCCCTGTTCGAAGCCCTTCTGCCTGCGCGACTCGAGGGATTGCAGAATTTCCTTTCCGCTCATGTGGGTTGCAGTCGACGCTGTCACTCACCGGACCCGTCCCGAGCCCCTGCCCCCCCACGACCGCCACCAACCCCTGGGCCCCGACTCCACATCCCGCAGGTCCCTGCGGCGGAGCGGCTTGCGGCGCTGTCTTCAGTCCTCGAGGCCTCCGCCGCGGGCCAGGAGCCCCAGCGGCCGCTGCCGCGCCTGGCGGTCATCTTCGCCACCTCCCAGCTCAAGGTGCGTTTGTAGCCAACAACAGGTTTCAACCAACTATGTTTGGTGCTGCACACATTGCTGGCGTGCTGTCCAGACGCGTTGGATGCATGAGTGCCACCCAGCTGCAGTCAGCTGCATGCTTTGCCGCGCTCTTACGTGTCTTTGTGCTGCCTCGCGGCGCGTTGTGTGCAGCATGTGTGCCTCCGCGCAGTCTTGGCCGCTGATGCTTACACAATTGTTACACATTCTGAGGCGCGCCCGTACGCGGCGTGCGCCCAACTGATTACGAAAAATTAGCGGATTTCTCTGAGGCCATTTTGTTGTTGGGAATCGGGTTCAGGGTCTGGCAGTGCGTGTCATGTTGGGCGCATGGATTGCTCACTGTTTGCAAGTGGCGGTATGGTGAGTCGTGCGCGGACGGCACGCAACGCCTCGTCGCTCGCCGCTCACGCAACGCCTGACACTACACCTGCCCGCCCCTCGTCCCTCCGGCCCGCAGAGCAAGCCGCTCGCTGCGGCAGCACGCGCCGAGTCCGCGGCGGCGGCCGCTGCCGGCGCGGGCATGGGCGCGGGCGCAGACGCCGGCGCCGCTGCCGCGCCTGTGCTGGCCGGCTGCCTGTCGGTCATGCAGCAGGCTCTGCTGCACCTGCAGTTGCTGCACCCCACAGGCGGCGCCGAGGATGACGATGACGAGCTCCTAACCTTGGACGAGCGCGCCGGAGAGGCGGACAGCGCCGCCGCTTTGGCATCGCCGTTGCAGCAGCAGCAGCCGCCGAAGCTGAGCAAGAAGCAGCGGTCGGTCAACGCGGCGACGCGCGGCCTGTACGGCCTGCTGGCCGCGCTGAGGGACCTGATGGATCCGACGGAATTCCTGCGGGCGCTGCTGGAGATCTCGGATCACCCCTCGGAGGAGGTCAGGCGGCGCGCGCTCGCGCTGTTTGCGGAGCGGGTGCATTCGTCGGATGGCGACCTGCGGGAGTGGGACGAGGAGTTGGATGAGGATGTGGCGGCGGCCGCGCGCGCGCGCCTCGCGGCCGCTGCGATGGCACTCGCGGCGCGCCTGCCGCCGCTGCTCGCGGCCGGCGCAGCGGCGCCACTGCGGCAGGCTGCGCTGCTCGCGGCCGGCGCGGCGGTCTCGCGTTTCGGCGCCGCGCGGCTGGGCGATGCGCTGGCGGCGCTGACGGCGGTGCTGTCCGTCGCCGCCGACG